GTATTTCATCATAAAGATCAAATCATGGTCAAATCGTGGCATTGCTTTCTATCAGACTCGACGCTTATTAATCACGGTGAAAGTTATCATTCAGCAAGTTCCAGCGGTTGGAATGTCTCACTATATGGATATCGGGGTGGACTTGAAATAGGAAGTTTTTTTTTATCCAACGACAGAAGAATAGTTTTCATGACAGAAATGCAATAACGGTGATAAAAGATGGTAAAAAAGTTGGCAGTCTTCGGCGTGGCATTGCAAAATTGCTGGCCCAGTTATGGATTCGCAAGCTGCTACAAAATATTTATAAAGCCAAAATAACGTGATTTCATTCTCCCAGGTACAGGTTGCTACAATATTGCATCATTGTTTTCATTGTCGACGACGTTAAAGGTGAACACTTGCTTAGCGGCTCTCCTTATACGATTTGCTTGAATCGTTTCTAAAGAAGCACACACCAAACGGCTGGCCCTTTTTAGGGCCACGACATATTTCAAAAAGAGAACTATCGTTTCTGATTTAATATTTATTTTTATAGACTTGCTGACTGTTATGATTCTGAAAAAAATCAGCGGTGAACGCACTGCCCTGAAGGCAGAAAGCTGTCACAGCTATTTTGCGTTCACCCCTTGTTTTACGCAATTAACAATTTTTATAAGTATCACGACAGACTAAGAAAGTCAACAGTTAATACAACCACAGTCAACGAATAGAAAATAGTTTTTTTGTTTTTTGTTTTGTGTAGAAAAAGACCCCCCTGGGCATGTGCCGGGATATGACCTCAACTTCTTTATTGTGTCAAAAGTGGGGGGTGGGCGTTTGTCCAGGCATGGGCTCTTACCCGGATAAGTACAGTAGATTTGCTAGTCTATATTTTGAAGTCATAATTCTGATTTTTTTTGATTGTCTAGATTTTTTTTAGATCGCTTTATTTTAGCCCGATTTCTCAAAAATAAAACATGTTGTTCAAATTATTGCGGTTTTTACTTGAATCGTGTCATTTTCAAAGCAATTAGGGTATTTTAGATGGTAAATTGCTTTACAAAAGTCAAAATTCTGAATTTTCCAAACTGTTTGGAAACGTGTGATAATCAACCGACAACGAAAATGGCTGACCTGATCTTTTTTGATTGCATTATTTTCGCCCGATTTCTCAAAAATAAAACATCTGTTGTTCAACTTATTGCGGTTTTTACTTGAGTCGTGCAATTCTCGAAGTAATTAGGGCAGTGTTCTCCACAATCCAAAATAGCTGGTGGGCGGCTTAATTAGCATAAATTTGCATATCATTTACATACAGCATTTTAGCATTTATGTCATGAACTGCAATACACACTAAGTTTACTATACTATACTCTATATTTACTATACTCTTTTTAATTTAATTGAAACATGTTACAATTTTTTGAAATACAAACAGATTGGTCACTATCAATATTTACGAAATGCAAAATGTTTGAAATCGTTGATTTATACGTTCTCAAATTATTCTATGTTCATGAAATGCAATTCGAGTAACAAAGAGCAGGTACAAAACATAATTGAGTTATAAAGTAGAAAATATACGAGGTGATTTGACCTCGAAGCCAAAACGAACGATTTGTCAAAACAAAACCCATTTTTATTTGTGGCATCAGTACTCACCTGTGCCGACAGACGGTAAGATGCATTTATGCATGTACGGTCACGATACGTTGCGTTTTCACACG